GCGCATAAAAAATTTCATCAGTAGAATGATTTTCATGCAAAAATATTGTCCAATTATCTAACAAAATGCGATCGAAGTTTCAGTTTTGGACTCGATTTGCTAGAAAACTGTTAATCGTAGAAGTTTTTCAATAGCAATAACAGACTCAGTTTTAATTTCCCTACAAACCTACCAAGTCGTTACTCTTGACTCGAACGTCAAAGTCTTTGACAGCAGTCCTTTCAAAAGAATCAATTGAACGACAAATTTTCTTCTTGAAAGCCTTGACTTCTCAATTTTGGACACACCTCGATATAATTGGCATTAAACTTGTCATTTCAATGGCGAACCTCATTTCGATGATTAAATCGTTTTCATTCCAATAAACATTACATTTACTCATCCCATTGAGCTACCAAATTTACCAAAGCAATTGCCCTTAACTCCTCATCTTTTCTAGGTTAACCTCACCACCTAACCAGATATTGTCTGATGTGAAACCACGATGTAATCCAAACTAATTATCACTTGTGCTGTAATATAATTAGCTAATAATGATGTAACCAATTAAGGAAATGGTTATTCCGTTTATGGCAAGAGAAAGTATAAAATAGCTGAAACTGTTGAATCCACAAGAAAAGCTGGTGAATTAAATAATGAAAAATCTGTCAGAGTTGAGGCAAGGTCAATGGATAATAATAATGTAATGTTCAACACATAACTGAATTCACCTGTCGGGTGAAAGTTTTGTTTCTTACCTTTTATTTTCACTTAGTTTTTGTTTCAACAAACCTAAGAAAGGTAAATACATTTTAATGATAATAATCACCGACTAAATCAGCTGCTTCGTGAGAGGAACCACTTTTTGCTTTGGTTAATGCATTACAATGAAACGTAAAGGCAAAGTCACAAAACCATTTTCTGGTTAACCAACAGCAATCAAAAGGCTTTTCTTACCTTTGTTTTCATTACATCCTAAAATGCTTATTAATATTTTGCATTTTTACTTGAATCGTTTTATCTAATTAATTATTCCAATTCAGATCAAGGTAACATCATGAAAAGAAGCAATAAGTGGTGAAATGACAATCAATTTTCACTCTCAACTTTTCACTTTCAATCAAAAATTACTTCTATTTATTGTCACTATTTCATTGATTAGTCAATCATGGAAACCTTGAAAAACGAAATCATGAAAACACCTTTCAATTTTCAGTATATGAATATGAATATTTATCAATTGTTTTTAATTAACCAATTATTGTTGGTGTTGCTACCATTTTAGTCTTCAACTATTAATATCAAATAGTTTTGCATTTTATTTTTGAGGTTAGCACTTTGATCAAACAAGGATTCAACCTTATCCAACCCTTGAGTGCATCATCGAGATGACCTTAATTTTGGTAAACTAATGAATCAAAAATCATGATTTGTTGATGCAAGAAAAGAGCTGATTCAAGGTGCATTTTCATATGCAAATATTTTGACCCTTCAACCTCAAACAAATCAACTTATTGTGTCAATTGTTTTTTGATAACTCAAAACCATCTGAGATTGAAAACAAATTCAAATCTAAATATTATAATAAAAGCAGTTATTAGTCAAACCAACAGATAAAGTCGGAATAATCAGAATATCTAATAGCTTGAAACCACATTTGAGTTTAACTGATGAAAACTAACCATGAATTGAGACATTTTTGGATTATTTTACATTATAATTGTAACAAACTCTTGAATATTGAAGCAGTTAGCAAAGTAAAAGTTTATTTCATTTTCATTTATTAATACATTTGAATCAAAATTCAACTAAAGTTTAGCCAATGTTTTGTCAAGTTATTTTGAATTTTAACTTGCAACTGATGAATCTTGAAGCAACTTTGATTCCTAAAGTTGATTCCATTTCAATTGTCATTTGTTCATAAGAAAAATACTTGTACAATCAAACAAAATCAAGTAATAATGACGGACATCTTTAACCATTTTAAGTTAAAAGTCAAATGCCAAACTTCATTTCCAAGTTTACGAGCTTTACCCATCAACTCCTTTCCTCTTTAACCTAACAGGTTGACTTGCTGGGTCAACAGTGCTCCGTATGATCGGCTTGTTTCACTTGGTAATGTGAAACAAGCCGAGCTGCTAAAAATCATTCATTAATTAACCAATTCCTTCATGTTACTTAATTATTTCTTTTTAACAATTTAACCACGTAGATTGTCAACAATCAATATTGCTCTCGTTAACCAGAATAGGATTATAATTATATTAGCCTTTCAAACTAAGCTACAATTTTACGAATCAAATGCAAAACTTAATTTCCAAGTTTACGAGGTTTAGCCATCAACTCGTTTCCTCTTTAACCTAACAGGTTGACTTGTTGGGTTAACAATGTGCAGTATGATCGGCTTGGTTCACGTTACCATTAAGATGCCAATAAAAGTTGGATGAATGATGAACATTAAAAATGTTGATTTGAGAATTAAATTAAAACAGAATTAAATTAAGAATCAAAAATTAACTTCCAATAAACCAAAAAGACTAGAAATAAATCACTCAAATGTTAATTTCGATTAATTTTTCATTAAAGGTGAAAAAGATTTTCTTCATTTTTTCACATTTCTTAATTATGATTTATGATGAATTTGCAATCAAAAATGATAACCTGACAAATTGATTAGCAAATTGTGATTGAATTGACAGACCAAATAATGATTAAAGTTAATTTACTTGCGGCCATTCCAAATTTAAACTGATTGTTTTTGTACGTTCATTCATTGAGAATCATATTGTTAATTGAGTTCGCTTTTTAAGAGTTTAATTAACGTTACCTGGCTAAATTACTTGTTAATTACCTGTAATACCTTTATCGATCAAGTACAGGTTACACTTGTCCAGTTGTCCAAACAGTTGAACAACAATTTTCAGGGAAACTTTTAAAATGTTCATTAAAAGCTATCATTACTCTCATTAATCAAGAGGATCCATAAAGCTTGTACATTGCTGACTCCAATTGTTACAATTGGTGAAAGTTAATTTGATTATGTTACCACAAATAAGTTGAAACAATTATAATTATGAAAAGGCTTTATTAAATAGAGTAAAAGCTAAATTATGATTTGATTGCTTCCCTAATAATTATGGCTCAAGCTAATTGTAGTTTGACATTTTGCTTTATTTTTGTTTCTCACTAAACTCATCTTTTCTGGTTCCTCTCATCATTATTATCATAAACAATTTGAAACACTTTAAAGTAATTAAAAATTATTTTCTTGATATAAATATAACTGCCACTGTACAAACTCATAATACACTTAAATTCACTATTCAATTGAAATGATTTAGTTGCACTTATTAAATCATTTTTGTGTTACACTTTTTACCATCAAATTGCCTTGGGCTTGTTGATACTATTAATATTAATCAACATTAATATAGTTTACTTGATAACCTTTCCATTGTTCAAGTGTGAAATATAATTGTATTTTCATCGATGAATTTGATTCTTAAATTGGATTGGACACTCTTGTCAAGAAATTGTACAATTAATCAAAATGATGACTTTAATTGTGCCATTTTTCAATCCATTTGCAATTGAGACGCTTTCAAAGTGAAACAATTGCTTTAATTGTGTTTATTGCCTTTGGGTTTTGAACGTTACTTTTTCGCCTTATAACAAGAGATGAGACTAAATTGACAATTCAAGCTTAAATAATTGAACTTAATATTTATTATCGTGATTGCTCGTCGAGAAAATAAATTAAAGTTTTAATTTGTTTCTTTATTTACATCATTCAACATTAAACATTTTATCAGTAAAGTGTTTCCACCTATTGAGTTGATATGATAATACTAATGCAGAGGGAATTTAGACAAAAATAAGCGCCATCTGACGAATTAAATGCGAAAGAAAAAATAATAATTGATTCTCTGATTTCCTAATGGTGAATAATCGTAGTTAATTCATTAGCCTTTGAGTCAAAAACTCTAGAATCATCATCAATCAAAAGACGGAAATCGGAAAACACAAATTGCGAGCCCACAATGTCGGTCAGAACGAAAAAATTGCTCTTAGTAATCAGATAAATTAAACTATCACTTATTTTGACAAAAAAATTAGCTCCATCTGAAGATCTAATAGAGCATATTTTTTTTAATTAGCCACTCGGCTTGAGCCGAAACTAGCTGTGGCTGATGAGAAGAGAAGTGAGCCTACGGATGTTTCTACTCACATATAAATAAGTATCTTTGATCAATAGATCAAAAATTGAAAAACAAAAAATTATGATCGCTCAGCTGTCAACTGATTTCCACTAGATGGAGCTGTTTTGTCAGAATAAGTCGGGTTTTTTGGTTACACTGCCATCTAGGTGAGCTACGAAGAAAAACTACGAATTTTACAATTACACAACTTAATGAGACCTCGCAACAAGCAACATAAAAAGTTTACCATCTATTAGGGAAGATTGAAAATGATAAATTGAGCAGCCGACGAATGTTTTCCAATGTTATAAAGTCTTTGAGCCCATCTTGCATTCTGAATCATTTCGTATAATTTTTCTTGCAGTTCCATGAAATAACTCGAACCATACACTAGTCGCTCTTGTAGGAATCGGCCCATTATCTTTGCCAAATTTTTAAACATTTCAATTGTTTCGTCAGTTCGTCTTTCTTTAGATCTCCCTGCTCTGGCCTTTGACAGATTGATTGCTTACTTGATCTCTTTATAACATCTTCGTATTGTTAAATTACCGGGGCAACCAGGCCAATGAGTTTTTACTAATATTTCGGGAATTCGGTCATAAGAATGGCATGACAAAACTCTAATCGTTTCAAGATTTCGCTTAAAGGATTGTAACTTTGTAAATAATTGACCTAATTTAACCTTTTTTCTTTTATTTTAGATTTTACTAAAAACACTCAAAATTAATTATGCTTTTAACAGCGAAACACAAAATTTACTCGACAATCTAATGTATTTTTGTTGGTTATTAAGGTTAACATTAGAAAATTGTTTCAACAATTTTTCATAGATGGCGTTTCAACCCAGCTACAGATTACAGTGCATTTTAATGCTGCTATTTTTATACAATTAAATTTAGTTTAATTTATTTTTTCGTTTTTTATTTGTGTTTCAAATTACTTTTGAATACTATGTGAACCTGGTGAATCCATCGAATGGTTTGGTTTCTCGTTTATTTTGTGTCAAACAATCAAGGTAAGTCTGGTCTTTCAATACTCTATTTTGAATTATCTATTAATATTTCACATTTCTCTTAAGTAAATGTAGTGCAAAAAAACAAATGAAAAACGGTAAACGGTCGTGGAAATCGTATCTGGCCCTATACTGCGAGTGTGGCTGATCGGATTCGCTCTTCATGTGTTCGAGTGGATCCGTTTGGGATTATCGGTATCCTTATTCATGTAACAAGGTGCAATGAGATGAAAAAGCAAGTTTATGAAGCTAATGTCGATTGAAAAAGTAAGTGGGATTATCTTAATTTATTTTTTAACCGGATACACCTTTAAATTGCAATTTGCTTTAATTCTGTGGTTTACTTGTTCTTTCACTTGAATAGATTATATAATTTCAAGGATTCAAACTAGAATTCCAACCTTGGCGAACGAAAATTCCAATTCCATACCAACCTACAGAAAACATGGGTAAAGAAACGAAAGGAGAACAAGAAACAAAAGGTTAGTAAATGTTTTATGTGATTATAATTGTTTTTAACTGAATTGTTGTTCCTCTATTATTATATTTAACAGAAACAAAGTTGTGTCCAATGGATATTGCGTGATGATAATTAAGCTAAACAAGATAACAAGGAGTTATATTAAAAGCAAAGAAGGAAAAATTAAAAAAAAAATGAAAGATGTTTCCAAAGAAAAGCCATTACAATTTTTTATGCCTTCTTTGGCTTCGTACCATTCATCATTTGTAAATCTAGCATTTCATTTAACTTGCTCATCCTCATTATCATCCATATCATCATCTTCTCACCGCAAAATGTTATTACCAACAACAATTGATAACAAAGCAAAGCCAAGTGAAGTAAAAACAACATCAAACGGAAATGTTGCTGCGACCAAAATGAAAGTTTAATGTCAACAAGCAAACAAGTCAATTGGCAACAAAGACACATCATAATAAGCAAATAAATATATCCTCTCTGTCCACAAAAAAAGGTAAAAAAGGACTGTGTGAGAAAAGGTGATAGAGAAGAAGAAGAAGAAGAAGGGGAAAAGGAAAGATGAGAAGTCCATAAACAAGAAGATGAAGAGGCTCCTTAAAGGATAATTGGTCATTCTCCGCGGACTTAACCTTTTTTGCGCTCAAAATGTACCAATTATGTTGATACGTTTTCTCACAAAACGTCAACAGAAGAAAGTTGCGTGTAAATTGTAAATATGCGTGTTTATGTGGTTTTTATTCTTATTTTTTTCTTCTCCTTTCATCAACAACATCAACAACTACGTCAACAGCGGCAAATGATCGTCTTAATTCATTCAATTTCTCAACAATGAAAGAGTAAATGATGAAATAATTTTAATGTGACATGAAGGAAAAGTAATGATTCAAATTTAGACTTTTGTTTTCATTTTAAAAATGAACCTTTTTGTTTCTTCCATCATTATTCAACATTATTCACTGCATTTATTGATTACCATCTCGTATCCTGATTGATCAATGTTTATGGGTTTACCTTACCATTTGTAAAACCATTTCAAACTGATTTTCAATTTATCACAAGAAAAAAAAGAGGAAAAAACAGTTGAAAGTTTATTATTGATTTTCCGGGAAAACCTTTCCATTGATGAAATCATCTTGCTCTTCATTCATCTCCATCGTCTCTAGTTTCGTGTATATTAAGCCCTGAGGTGAAACAAAAAAAAGTAAAATGCTGCCTAACAAGCATCAATCTGCACCTAATTATATCACAAAAGAGATGAAATTTTTGTCCTCTTGATCGTCTTTCAATGTTGAAATAGGCACGAAATAATAATCCAAATATGAATTAATTGATTGAAACAGTGAAATAACCTTAAGGCAACATTAAATTGACTCGGAAATTTTCACGGTTACACCATAATGATTGCCTTTTAACCTTTCCATTGTGATAACAATTTTCACCTTGAATAACTTGCCATTCAACATTGATCATTATTATTGACCAAAAGTAAAAATCAAGTCTCACATCATTAATAGGATATAAAATAATGACATGAAAATGGTATATAATACGATGGTTAAAGTTGATGGATCAAAAGCAAATCTCAAAAAAAAATGGTAAATTCATCATTAAATTGCCCTTTTCCATACCATTTTACCCAATGTTTGACCAATGAATCTTGAAATGGTCAAAAAAAGGTAATGATGATTATCACAAGTATATTGAAATAATGTTGAAAGATGGTTTCATTAACCTTTTTTTAATCATCATTAAACTGAAATGAGGAAAGATGATAATCATGGTGATCATTAGATGAACAATGTGAATAGACAATTACAATACAAATGCCATTTACAAATATCAAGACAAATTGAAGTAAAATAAAAGCAAAGGCAAAACAAAAAGTGAAAGCAAAAACATAAACTTGAAGCTAACAATCTGTGCAACTTTAACAATGATAATAACCTTATTAGTGTCAGTAAAGATGATAAAGGTTCAACTTGCATGATGAAAAAATATACAAAACTCAGCATAACCTTAGAGGAGGTAAAAAAGACGATGAAGCTGATAAAAGAAGATGGAAAGAAAAAGAAAAAGAAAAGTGTCTCAAATTAAGAATCATCCAAGCATCAACTTGTTAACATTGATACCTATTAGTCGTTCATTTTATCGACCCATTCACCTCCTATTTTTTCCTCCTCCTTTTTTGTTCATATCGTCATCTCTGTTCACCATCTTGGCACAAAGAGACACACAAAAAAACCAAGTCTTGTTATGTAAAGCATTAGTCTGATCAAGTAGCCAAGTACAAGCTTTTGTGTTGACAAGAGTCAGTTAAACAACAACATGGATACAAATCGCTTCAAGGCCTTCCTCGAATTAATAAGTTACACAAAAGGTTATTTGTCCTGATCAACAGTCAACTGCTTTTTGGCCTTTACACCAAAGTGTGTCCATGAAAAATACACAAAAAACACACAAATACATAGCAAGATATGCAAACACACTCTAAAGACACACTTTCAAGTTACAATGTAAAATGCATGTTAAAGCCAATTTACAAGTTTACATGACTCGGATGGAAGAGATGAAGAAGCAGAAATGATAACTTCTTTGTCTTTTTTTTTCCTCCTCCTCCTCCCTTGATCATGTTAAAAAGTGACACAAGATGAAAAGTGTGTTCACGTGCCTGGCGAATAGCTAAAATATCTTTGTCATCCACATCATTTGAGGGCGAAGAGACATGAAGATATTGAGCTAAAAAAAGCTCGAAAAATCATCAAACTATTCATATGATTTATTAATACAATAAAAGGCAGGAAAATGAATATAAAAAAGCAACTTGAAGAGCAAATTTTTCAGTTGCCTTGGAGTTTACGGTTAAATATATTACAGTGTATCTCATCTATTTTTTGTGTATCTTGCTATATCATTTCCTTGACTTTCTCTCTCTCTCCTTTAACCCAAATCACAATAAGGGTGAACCATTTAAAATAAATATATCTAACCTTTAACCTCAAATTATACTTTATACTTCAATTGATTATCATATCCAATGTGTGCCGCTATTCAAATTGTAACCAATTTTGTATTTCTCTGACAACTTGATTTTCATCTTTCACTATCCCATTACATTAAAATGCTGTCAAGACTTGAATCACTCACTTGGGTCAGTTACAAGGCAACGTTTTCAATGTAATCTTGACTTTATTTTTATTATTTCATATTATCTTCTCATTTATATCATTATTTTTCAGCTTCCACTTTATGGCTCCTTTCAACCTTTATCTCAATTCATTATCAACAACATTAAGCTTCAATACTGACCCTTAAACAAGGCTCTTAAACAGATCTTTAAACAGACCTTAACGTTGATGCTTTAAAGGTTAGTCTAGTAAACAAAAGCTGTAACTTTCAATGGTTTTCAATCACACAATTGGATCCATTTTTATTTCACTGTTTATGTGTTTATCTGGTCGAGATAGGATCGTAGCAAGACAAATAAAATGAAGTGATAAATGATATGATGAGCTGAAACATTGAGATAACATCAGAATTTTTCATCTAGAGAATGGTTCAAATTGAAGATTCTTCAGATTCAAACTGGCAATTGCAGCGCGGTAACCAAAATTTGTCAATAAAACCATAACTTTACTTATCTTTACTATTGATTTATATATTTTTTGTGCATTCAATCACTCCTTTAATTGCTTCCTAAATGCAAGTACAAACTTGAAGTAAATTTTACATCCAATTATTGATCAACTTTAATGTCAAGTGATGTTAATTTTTAGGTTAATCTTGAATTACAAGAGAATCCATTGGCTTTACATTTGTTTTCATCTTTTTATTAAATCTTTTGGCTTCATGTTTACAGTTGAAAAACAAAATCAACAATTGACGAGTTATTTACCAACAATTTAGATATTTTGATCAAAGTGAAACAATTTAAGTCAACAACTGTCAACCGATCATCAACATTTATAAGGTTGTTAAGTTGACAGGCAACAAAAAGTCGTGGTTTACAAGTTGATGGGTTAACAATGGTTTAAAGCCATGTTTAACATTGTTATTTTACACCTTTTATTGTTCACCTTATTGTTCAAATTTATTGTTAATGTTGATGGCTTATTAAACCTTGAATATAACTCAAGAGTCATTCAAGGGTCCAATCAAAATGACCATCCAATACAGTAAACAAAAGTCAGCTTGTATTTAAAAAATGTTGACTTGAAGGAGACGAGTTATTAGGTTTACACTTGAAAGCCTTTGGTCGACACACAACCAGATTAAATTTGAAAACAGCAAATCTCTGAAATTTAATGCAAACAAGACTTTGCTTTTTTTTGCCTCGGACTTATTAATTAAGGGTAATTTGCCAAGATATGATCATGAAAGGTAAGATGAGAATGAGGATGATGGTAATGATGATGATGATGAAGCCAGGTGAAGAAAGTTAACACTGAAGGAAGAGTCGGGAAAACGCAACTCAAATCGCCTTAACGAGTTGGGCGGGATTTGATATTAGTTAATTTGTGCTGGTTTTCAGGTAACTTGTGTTTAAAGGTGAATAATTTTTGTTTCTTCACTTATCCCCTCTAAAATTAACTTATGATAATAATAATGGCTACGTGTTTATTATGAGACCATTCAACAGCTTATTACAATTCACATATGTCTGTTAACATGTTCACAGCTTAGGCTCACAACTATTTGGTACCATGGGTGAGATGATAATGTTGAAACGAGTTGCAACCTAAGGGTATAAAAAATAAAAAAAAAGGTGAACCAACAACAATACAAAGTATCTGTCATCATCATCATCATTATCAAAGTTGATTATCGTTAATCGTTTCCCTAGAAAGTTTAATAAATGCCTTTCCCTTGTTGTGTTTGTCTATGTAACTGATCATATTTCTTGAGGTAATAATAATCATAATGGCAATGATAATGATGATGATGATAATCATAATAATATCTTGTCTTTAAGGAGTAATTATTATCAAATGACGACAACATCAACAGGTAAGTAAGGAAGGAGGTGACAGGATAAAAGTGCAAGGTTGCTAGATAAAAGCGACAAAATAATGGGAAAAAGTTGAAAAAATGCGAGTAATTGGCAGCTTTTTCTTGCTTCTTTTTTTGCTTTTTCCTATCATCATTCAGAGAGAAAGATGATGGTGATGAGAATAATAATCATGATATTAGCATTTTTCAACTTTTCCCTTTTGCTTAGTCTCTTAATTTTCAAGGTATTCCGTATCTTAACCTGAATCAGTTTTTGCTGTTTTTGTTTTTACTGTTTATTAAGATAACAGTCACGTGACACTGGCTTGCTAACTAACTACAAATATAATAACGATAATAATTTATCAAATCTGTTAACAAGCTGGCGAAAGTTGATCGTTAACCATGAAGGATTTTGCTTTCAACAGCAGACTTCTCAGGTTAAATGATATACCTTGGTGATGATATTAAGGTGAGGCTTTACCATCAACTTAAAACCATGTTGATAGTTGATTGTTGCCTTTGCACTTAATTTAGGTTTCAATGTTTCGCTTTGTTTTCATCTTGTTTATTCTGGTGTAACAACAAGACAAAAGGAGTGTCTGTGGCACCAAAAATCGACCCTCGTAAAGGCGAAGATTAATCCAATTTTAAGAAAGGGAATCCTGTTAGAGCTTTTCAAAACTTCCGTAAAATGGCCACAGTTTCACTTCCATTCCAATTTTTCAATATTTTCCTCGTAAACAGGTCAGGATAGAGGGCTGAAATTTTGTGCAGATATAGCTCTTGAATAGCTTGACCCATCAACGCCTGGAAGTTTATTTTCAATATCGGATCACGTTATATGGCAATTAGTTCGTTTTACTTCAATTGATCTTTATTGATAATGGCTAGAGTGGCTTAACCCCGATTGCTACAAAATAGTCCTTATTTTATCGGCAACACTTGCTTTTCTTGATATAACGGCATGTTTGTATCCTGGCATTCTGGTTGGTAAGCTTTATCTTCCAAGTCAATTGACATATCGACATAGGACTTTCACTTTTAAGCTTAAATTTGATTGTAGTCTGTTACGGAAAAATTCATTCAAGGTAATTAAAAAAATTGATTACTACGAAGTGATACTTTGATAAGTGATGAGTTAATAGCTTCATTGAGCCAATAACTTGTATACTCTTATTTGACCATTTTGTTTTTCGGGAAATTAATATTCCTTGCTCATAATTCCTCCAGGCATTCATCTTTTTTTATCTTTATCTTTTCCTTTCTTTGCTCTGGTTCCTCTTTTTTTCTTCTTGGCCAATTCTTGGTGGTCCTTTGAGATACAGTAACCTCTATACTTTGTTACATGTTAACCTTTTTTAATACGCTTATGTGGTTGTTTCAACTTCATGTTGAGCATGTAAACAAATCGTTTTGTTTGCTTGTTTGTTTCCTTAGTTTTGCTATTTACTTTTCCCATTTCATTGGCCATATGCTCGAGTAAAAAATGCTTGATTGTCTGTTGGATGAAAAACGGAAACCAAATTATATTGAATATTCATTTCCATGGAGTAAAATTTTAAAGTGTAATACCTTAAAAAGCCACAGGTTTAGAGCAACATGGCATCATAGGGATGAGAATGAAATTTTCAATCTGAAAATTCAAGTCCAATGTGGTCATCATGGGGTCCAGGGAGATTTGGAGAATAACTTGCCAGGGAATAAGAATTTTGATCTGATTTTTAGGAAGACTTTACTTATCACAAGCTTTCGGTTGATGTAGAGCTCAACTCATTGTGAATCTTGGCCCGAAAATCAAACATTGCGGTTATCCTCCTTTAAAATTAGGGATTTAAAAATGGTCAGTAGAAACAATTGGTTGGTTAATTGTTTGACCATACATCTTGATCCATAACAGTAATCCAAATATTGCCAAAAGATGCTGAAAAGGAAAACAAAGAAATTTTTTAGTAAATAATTAAACTAAATTATAGTCATTGAATCAAAGTGAAAGTAAACACTTGGCATATTGATAAATCAACTCACCGTTAATCACAATAATCAATTTTAAGAGTAACTTGAAAAATTGGCATTTCCAGGTAAAGGGGGAAACTCGACCAGTACAATGGTGCAAGGTATGAAACTAAGAAAAGGAAGAAAACAGGTAAAAATCTTTAGTAGTTGATTCAGTTTTTGCTGTTTACCTTCACAAATCTAATGTATTTATAATAATGTAACAAAACAAAAGCCAAAGTCAAACAAAAACTGTTTGTATCTCAACTAAACAAGTAAAAAAATTACTTAGTTTATTCACTCCATGTTTACTTTCAATTGGTTTTTGTTGTTTGCTCATGATAATAATAATAATAATAATAATGAGGATGATGAGAATGAGAATGATAATGATGGTAACTTCAATGCCTAAGGCATTATCTCTTGTTATGCTATTTGATTTACCTGTCATCACCTTCTAATGATGGTTTCTTAATAGTCATCAGATTGATCCTTCCGGTCAATTTTGTTTTCCCCCCCTCTCTATGACTTTATCTCCCTCTAAGGTAAAGATAATTGATTGCAATTGGTTATCATCATTATCATCGTCATCATCATTATTATGTGTATATATTTATATGTTGAAAAGTTTGCTGTTTTTTACCTTTTCTTAAAATGTATGACCAGACCGTGAAAATTGACTCTCAACTGATGAGAGAGGCAGAGACCAATAGCTTTACCTTGCGGCTATTTGTATATTTGTTGGTTTTCTTGTTTACCTTTCATCATCCGGTCAGCTTTACCATTATTATTATGATAATTATTTTTCCTTTTTTTTACCTATTACCTTGTGTTAAAACATCATTTGACAGCAAGAGCAAAACCATGAAGAGAACTAAAAATGATTCTGGAAAAGTTGTCAAGCCAGAGAGAGAGAGAGTCACAATCTTTTGCTTAACACACATTTTTTCAGCAAATTGTTGATGTTGCGTCTTTTTTTGTTACCTTAAAACAAAAAAATGAATTCTTCGGCAATCTGTTGACATGCATAATTGTAAATCTCTTTAAACTTTTCCATCATGTATGACTAGAGATGCAACAGCCAGGTAAAACGTTTGATACTCCACAAATGGGAATGGTTTCTTCCGTTGCTTGTCTTGACATGGCTTTATATTATGATTACTGGATTATTCTGGAATTTGTTACTGTTGGTTACTGTTTCCTTGTATACAGAGTGCACTGATTTCCGTGAGAAATTTGTATTCAATATACCTTGAAACAAACATCTCATTGAAAGATAACCCAATAACATTGTTATCCATCGATTAACTTTACCAAACTCACTGAGAATTGGCCCAGTTCACAAATTACCACACTTTATCCTCTTATCGTCATCTGTTCTCGATGCCATCTTTATCCTCTAAATCCTTTTTCCAACGTTTGTCTCTTTTGTAGTCTTCCTGTATTTTCCTCCTTCTTTTCATACAGCTTTGTTACCTTTTCCTAATTTAACCTCTAACCTCTCGGTAATCATGATGGACAGTATCACAGTGAATAGTGGAGAAGGTTGTCCCAAAATGGCTTTATTTTCTCAACTCAATGAATCCAAAGTTGATGAAGAAGAGCTGGAAAAAACGGTAAAAAGAAGTGAATAAAAATGTTATTGCATTAGTTAATCAATGTTACCTATTGTTGTTGTTATTGTTGTTGTTTATTTAGATACACAAACTAATCATTAACTTGATTCATCAACTGTTTAATACATTTACAAATAAAATTGTCGTGGAGCCTACTTTTAACTACTAGTTTACAGTTCAACAATGAAAACCTAAACAGTTAAAACATCAAATTTATTTGTTACCATTCTTTATATTTAGTGACCTTCTGACTTGCTTTTGCTTTGTCTTGCATCTATTTTGTGGTTATATATTTTTATTTGACTATTTATTTGTTTATTTATCTACTCATTGATCCATCAAAATGGAAATTATTTTTGTTCAAATCAACCACTTGATAGTACTGATGTTACTATTACAACTAATATCAATCAGTTTATGTACAATGACTGTTAATCACACAAAAGAGAATCATAATCACAATCAACATCAACATCATGGTCAACCAAATTTTCACCAAACTAGGGTAAGTGATGTCTGACAAGGTTAACAATCAAGTAAAAATAATGATAAGTAATGGGTTACATACATTTCTGAATACATTCAACCAGATGAATGAGAAGTAGCTTTTACCAAGAATAGTGCAAAGAGATAACTGGTAAACATCTTTGATTTTTGGTAAGAATTGTTCACGTTTGTGTTGTTTTTGTCAGTCCGGTTACATTAACTTTTTCCCATCGTCATCGAAATGTGGCCTTTTACACAATTGACCAATAGGATGACCATAACTGTGATTGTCATTCAGCTAAAATAGTGACAAAAGAGAAAAAAAGCAAAACAATGAATCAGTTATCATTTCACAAACCACATTTAATTTGAGGATTGATGATACAGAATGATGTGGACGAGACTATCTTTTGTCTTCCTTTCTTTCATCTCTCCATTTCATCCATTTCATCAATATTGACCTTGCCACGTGACGTTTTCCGTTTTACCAATGAACACACTTTATCCGGAAAAAACGGAATCAATCTTACCCATCAGCTTGCGTTGATCTATTTAATTACTTTTAATCAAAATGTTAAATCAACCAGTTTAAATGGTGAATAAAGAGTAAACTTATTACACACTTGAAACAGTAACATCAAATACAGAGAATCACGAATTCATGATATACAAGTCAGGAGCAAACCAAAATGACCAACAGCAAAATCAGGTTCAAATAAGATGGATCGAACACCAGCATTCACTAATCACCATCTGAAAATTACAATGAATATTTAACATGAATAAAACAAATTTAAATAACTGGTTAGAAATGTTAGCTTCAAGAGAAAGGATCGAATAGATTGGTTAAAAAATCCGTTAACTAATGGTTATCTGTGTTATCACATTTTAGCTCACCAGTTCATTTCAAGAAGCTTCTTTACTTTTTGAAAACAATTATCGATAAAGAGTGACAAAAAGTTGATAAAATTGTAGAGCTTTTTGTAGAGTCTATCTTATCTGTCTAAAAATCTGTCTACATCAAAGAGTTGCCACTTTTTGCACATTTAAGGTTAAAACATTTAAAAGTGTTTCTCACTTTTGTTTAGCCGTCTGAGTAATCTATCCAGTATTCAACAAATGCCTTTAAGTTTTTGCATTCAAATGCTTCTTTTTCAATTGATTTGTTTTCTTTTTTTCAATTATTCTAGTTAAAACGAAGCAAAGCTGACCGTTGGCCATCAAATCTTGAGACTTGGCAATTTAATAATGGCAAGCAAAATGGAATTAAAACATCTTCATCTTCCCTTAATAGTCAATCAGTTCCACTTACACCATCAGCTCAAAGTAAGTCATTTATTTGTTGATATTCATATTATTTATTATGTTTCTTTGATTAAATTAAAGTTAATTCACATACCTGTTAGCTAATTATCTCTTTTTTTCGTTACCATTTTTCTCCCATCAATTGTAAACCATTAAAGATATTAAATGTAACATTCGAGGCGATGTTAAGAGTTTCACTTCAATGATAACCTTACCTTCAGGATATACGGTTCCACCCATATTTGAAGATTACATTGATTCAAATGGAGAGACATCATCATCAAGCTCTCAAGCTGATTGTTCAATGACATTGATATCATCTTCCTCGCAATCGCCATTATCATCAAAGTCAAACACATACAGTATGAAAATAACTGATTTTGCTAAATGTGGAGTGAAATCGGAAAAATCAGCTGATGGCAAGGTCAGAAATGTTTAATATACTAGCACCTTAATCATCGTTTTCAATTAAATCTTGTTATCTGAGAATATGCGTTAAACTTGATTATCACTCATCATGAATCTTAAACGTGATTTCTATAATTGGCTTATCTTGATACAGTATTTTCTTACTCCTCATTATAATCATTTATAATCATTACCAATATCATTATTAATATCGTTAATGCTGCATATATTGTATTATAGGAATGGATGTCAGTCACTTTACGTATACCATTCATAAACGGCCTGAGAACTGCTCAAGATGAACACATTGTGATTGTATGTCGCCCACAAGAAGCTGTAATGGCCAAAAATTCACTTCTTGATTTCAAAACCAATCTGTAAGCGTCACAAGTGTCACGAATCACTTGCCTAATCTTGCTTTTATATCTTGATTCTTAATGTAACATTTCTCGTCTCTCTTTTATTCGCAGTCAAAGGCCTGTCAGAACTGTATTCAGTAGCTTGGAACCGGAAGTTGAAGTAAAAGTTGGATTGTTTGCTAAACCATCAGGAGTGAGCTATTATTCAGAAGAGATTCCATTTGATGGGCTGATAGAGGTTGGTGAAGAGTTGCAGTTCCGAGCAATTGTAAAACCAGGAGATGGTGAGTTAATCAATGAAAAAGAAGTTTTGCAATCCAAATCAGCATGAAAACAAATCAAAAATTGAGTGAAATATAATTTCTATTGCAAATTGATTTAAATTGAAACGAAAAAACCCTTCTGTTTATCGTTACCAGATTGAATCATCAACAGATAAAAAAGATGTTGAAATTGAATTTGATTGCTTTCTCATTTACAATTGAACTAATATTAGCTTTATTTTTTCTTTTGAATTTTTGTAAGGTTGGAAATATGCTAAACTTACTGATTTAAAGGTTTACATGGTAAACGATAATGAATTTGATCAACTTGACAACTCTCAAAGTGAAGTTAAACCAGGCAAGGACAGAAAAGATTTGGTTAAATTTGATTCAAATAAATCATCATCAGTTGATAAAGAGGCAAACAAATTGATGAACCATAAAAAACGTAACAATGAGGTTGCCATCCTTGTTATGGATAATGGTTGCCGTAATCCTGTTTATTCAGCATTAGCACCTTACCATCCTTATCGTGATACAAGCAACCCTCTTGCGGTTGCTTTTAATTTCAAAGCATTCATGTTTCAAGATATGTCAGATGATGACTCAATCAGGATTACAGCTAAAATCATGGCCTGCCTAGAAGAAACTGATTGCTCACCGGTAAGATGAAAAGTCATGATAGTCATGCAAATACTTTGCATTAATGTTCTACAACCATTCTTTATTTCATAGTAAAACATATTATCAGCAAACTATGAGTAAAATAATTATGATTAGGTAAATTCTCAAGCAATTTAATAAGGAATACCTTGCATGCTTATCAATTTTCAGTCTCAGTAAAGCACAATGAGAATTGATTTATCATTGAGGTTTCACCATTGCTCAATTGCCTTTTTTATCATGATTATGACTCTTAAAGAGACCTCAAGACTACATTTTAGGTAAACAGGTAGAAGCAATCTTTAAAATTGTCCTATTTTATTTTTCAATTAATTTAATGTTAATGTTAATGAAGATAACATCTACTGAACAATTTCATTCTCATTTTCATCGTATCTCGTTAACTGAATGTCAAACAAAATTGCCATGCGTATCATTATCTTGAAAAATTTGAACCAATTTTTGGTTTTACTTTTTGCTGTTAAGGTAAAGTATTTCTGTAAAGGTAAGATCGCCTTATAAAAAAGATCCTTCGGGCTGAGGCAGCAAAAAGGCAAACAAGACGATGAGAAAAAGATGTTGATCTTGTCAGTGAATGAGATGTAAAATTTTAAGCTTCAGTAATTACAATTACCGAGGTAAAAAGAAGGAGATGATTATGATGAAAATGAAAATTCAAGTTTAACGATTCGATTCTTATCTTTATTTTGTTTCTTTGCACATTTATCATCATCACTTTTAGAGTTTTTGTCCAGATAATGGTCAACAAGGTTATGGAAGACGAAGGAGACGCAGTATCACAGAGGATTATCGCAATAACGATGATGATGAAAGTAGTAATAATTATAATGACAATCAACATGTATCCCTTTCAATAACCCACCAGGAAAGTGAAATGAATAAAGATGGTTACGATATTTCATCCAATTATCAGGAAACAAGAGATGCAAAGGCGTCATCATTTTCACCCAATCAAAGTGAAATCAATAATTTTTCCCGAAACTTTCAAGTCAAAGTTGTTTTACCCGGTTATGCCAAAAGTGAGCATTTACACCATTCCTTTGCTTGCATCTCTTACCTTGCCCTATCATCCTTGCTAACTCCACCTTGGTAGTTAAGTATAATGTAATGATAAGAACTGAATTGATTAGGTGAATAATGATGGTTACTCAATGAAAACTGGATGGTCGAGTGAAAAATTTGCCTAAACTGGAGACAGTTTTAGGCAAATTTTTTCAGTGGCAGTTGGATTGTATGTCGGTTGACTGTAAAAGTGGCGCCTTTATGTATAGTCGTTTAGTCTCACAGTTTCAATTTATGTTTAAATTTTAGTTACACTACCTTACCTTGTAGGTAATAATACTTTTAAAATGAATTAGCTTTAAAAAGTAAAGTAGTAAGAAGTAGTAGTAAAATAGTAAATAGTAGTAGTATTTAGATACTTTCACCTTGCCTTGCAAAGGTCAGGTCACTTAATTTTTTACCTTTCATGTATGAAAACCAGAGAGAAAGATGATCATTTTTTTAAGACGCTGATAATTATATGAAAAAATAGCATGAAGAATGAGTCTCAACATGCAAACCATCGCAAGAAAAAAAGGTTCATCCTCTTTCATTAAAACTTATCACTTTTTTTCATCTAAATTAACCTTATCTGTTCTTATCTTACTTTTTTATCTTCCTCATCTTTCCTTGTCTATCTTCACTTTCTCTTTACCAGTTTCGCCATATTATTTTGAACACACACGCCTCTTCTAATGTCCATTTATTGGACAACAAGCAAGCTTAGCTTAAACCAAGATCGACAATCAGCGAAGATGAAGATAATTTAAGGCTTTCTCGTCTCCTTTTTTTACCTGATTGACCTTTTCTTTTCATCCTCCCTTTCTCATGTCCCATTGGCCCTAATGTTACAACCCAATGAGAAAACAAAAAAGAAAGTAAAAGATGATATTCTCTTACATTGTTAACGATGATGAGGACGGTCAACGGCACAGAACCATCACAAATTACAGGAAATTACTTTAGACGGAGACAGCTTTAAAGAAGGTAGAAGACAGTGTAAATATTGAAGAGGACACTGGTTTTAAAAGAAAGTGTGAAGAGTTAATCCGCTAAGAATGGGCCAGACAATTTTAAGAATGAAGAAGACGGTGAAAATTCCGAACAAGACACAATTTGAAGAAACAATAACTTCTGTCTGGATACATTTATTAATACAAGACTCAATCATGAGAGCCGATAACCTGAGATGCATCTCTAGCTCCATCATGAACCTGATCAGGTTTAGTTGGTCTACACTAATTTTTGCCATAGAGCTACACGAAAAAATATTGTCGACTCGCTGACTTTCTCAAAATTTTCACTGTCTCCTGTATTCTTAACATTGTCTGGCCCATTCTTAAAGGATTAACTCTTCACACTTCTTTTACGACCAGTGTCTTCAATATTTAAAGCTGTCTCCGTCAAAAGTAATTTTCTGTATTATCATCAACTTTCTTTTTTCGCCAAACCTTAATTCCTTTTTATTATTTTACTTATCTTTGTTTCTCTTTGTCTTTTCATCAACAGCTTTACAGTCCATCTCAAATGATGATGTCAATAATGAAATGGATACACAGATAGTCAACTTGCATAGTCTGTATAATCGTTCAAGTTGTAAAAATAGTCTTCTAGTGTTGGCAGCTTCTTCAGCAGTTTTATGTTCGGCAATCATGCTAGCAGCTCTATGGACAGTTCGAGTTGCTAGTAGGAAAAACAATGCCATATAAAAAGATATCCTGTGTATTTAATCAAAAATTAGAGACCAGCTTGAAGAGTATCTTTATCACCGTTTCCCTGAAATCATGATACGATTTTGCATAAATTTGAAAATTAACCAACGCAGTGTTGATGGAAAGTCAAGGATGAATGCCATTAATCAAAAGCTAAAAACTATCAGTTTACAAGACAAACCACATTTAATTTGATCATTGATACTGAATGAGAAGAGAAGATTATTTTCTGTCTTCCTTTTCATCTCTCCATCTCATTCATTTCATCAATATTGACCTTGCCACGTGACGTTTTCCGTTTTACCAATGGCCACACTTTATCCGGAAAAACGGAATCAATCTCATCCATCAACTTACGTTGATCTATTTAATTACTTTAATAAAATGTTGATTTAAATAATTTATTTGTTATGGAAGAATCTACCGATCATTTGTAAACTGAGATTCTGCCTCACATGCCAAAATATTGAATACATTTAGATAACATCTGAATAAATCGAAGTAACCTGTTAACTAATTATCTGTTTCACGATTTATTTATCTAATTTACCATCCATGGCTAAAGAGTTGCCGTGATACGAAGGAGACAAATCATTAAAAAGCTTTTAAATCAATTTCTTAATGATATTGATATTTGCCCGAATCTTGTTTGCAATGTTTAGATCAAACATTAGTAAAATCGATGTGAAAACACGGATTAAACGCGACTTGGATCAAAGGAAGTAAGAATGGAAATGAAAAGAGGATCAACAATTGGAAGAAAAGTTTCAACATTTTTTTTACTGAGAAAACAAAAGCTGATGGATTAAATTGCGTTAAATTGATTCCAGAGGCAAGTGTATAATGGAGTGTGTACGTTTTTTGCATGTGTGAGTTTATCTTGTTTGTGTACCTATTGTTTCTCCATCGTTACATTTCAATGAATCTTCATGGGTGACAACAAATGATGTTAAAGAGGCCTGAAGAAGAAGAAAAGAGATAGAAGCAGAAACAGAAGCTACTAAGCTTTAAATGTTATTTTTGAATAAAATAAGGTTTTGGGAGGTAAAATTTGAGTTTTTGCTGCTCCTTCGAATGTTTCAAGATGATGTTGTTAGGTCTCATACACTTTGTTGTTGCTATTATTATTAGTAGTTGTGGTAATATTAAATAATTATTGTTTGACTTGGGATAATTATTTCTACAAGTCTTGGAGCTAGAAGGTATTTTGATCACCAAGGAAGATTGAAAAGGAGAGGGAAAAAAGAAGACAGAAAAAAAGGAAAATAAGTAAAGAGCGACAAAAAAATGCTCTTCAAAGTATTTACCTCCCAAGAAAGCGTGAAAATGATGGTACCAAGCAAAAACAAAGAAAAAAATACAAGTTAACAGTATACAATTGAGATTTCCTAGCATCTTAAGATGTTAAATTCATTTCTTAAATATATTTATTTATATAAGTTTTTTGTCTTTTGTCTTAGCATCCGAAAATTGATGATAATGGTGATGAGAATGAGGGTGATGATTATAATGAGGTTGAAGATTGCAATCATTCCAGTTCCCGCTTTTATCCTGTTGCTTCCTCTGTAATCGTTTTTTATCCATTTTATTTTTTGTATTTTGCGTAAACTTCTTTGCACTTTATCTTTTGCTTTAGATTTTTTTGTTTCGTCTTTTTCCACCATTTGGTAGGAAAGTATGATGGCGAATTTGATATTGGGATGAGGATAATGCGAATGATGAATGAGTAAATGTAAAGAGAGGGAAAGAGAGAGAGAGAGAGAGAAAGAATGAAGATGATGAGGTTATCTTTGAGTTCTTTTGTTATGTATATATTTATAGTTATTTTTGTAGAGAGTCGGGTTTTGTTTTTTTGATGATGGTGACGTTATTTTGCGCTAATATCTTTACAATGATTGGTCAACCATGGTTGCTGATGAGGATGATGATGAAGATAATGATGATGGTACAACGGTTGATGTTATTGGTGGCGAGGTAGTCGTCAATGATTCTCCTACAGATAACTTATTTTCGCTCATCTCCGATATTGTGGGTTTACTAAGATTGCTACTTTTACTACTGCTTAAACTAGTGATACTATTGATACTGCTGTTACTTGTGGTGGTAATGTTGTTCATCTCTTCCTCTTTGTGATTTGTCTCTGTTACACTTTTATCCGGCGTTGTTGTCATACTGACGTTATTGGGCCCAAAGTCATCTTCAGCTCCGTCAATCATATTTAACGCCTCATTAGTAGCCAAATGATGATGATAAGTGAGTTCCTTGTTAAATGGAGAAACGAAAAATGTCTTAAGATGAGGAGAAAAAGAGGGATATAAGTTACCATTATTGTTTAAAAAGGAACTGTGAAGTCTCATGGCTGAAGCAAAATCAAGGTGAGGAAAGCCCAATGGAGCAAGCAGTGGAAATGGTACAGAGGGTGAAAAATTTGACGATGAATAGTCAAAGGGTAGGTTTGATGAGTTCGGGTTGGTAGTAGATGAAGGCTGGGCTCCTGGTGAGGCTCCATTGGATCCGTTGGTTGAACCATTGGTTGACCCAGGTGAAGGTGATGTCCCTGAAGGAGTAGTCATTGTCGTTGCTGCTGCTGCTGCTGCATGATGATGAAGGTGGCTTAGGAATGGTGACCATGGTTTGTGTAAACCCAAATTGGCTGCATGACGGGCAACCTCTTCGGCTGTTGCGGCCGCTGCTGCCGCCGCTGCTGCTGCTGTGGGTCCTCCAGCAGGCTGTCCAGGCCCTGCATTGGCTGCAGCGGCTGCTGCTGCCGCAGCTTGGTGTTGATAGAGTAAAGGTAATCCAGGATGAGGTCGATAGAGAAGATTTGAATTCAATGAATTATTACTTGCAATGTTATTGTGTATACTATTATTGTTACTAATGTTATTATTTAATTCCGATAAACTCAGTCCATTGGAACTTATGATTGGGTGATCATGTTTATCATCGTGCATATCTTTCTTTATGGAAATTGAATCTAAATTAGGGTGAAAAATAGATAAATCAAGAGAGTAAACAAGAGAAAAGAGAAAAAAAAGAAAACAAATTAGTACAAGTAACTTGGGAGTCAATGTTAATTAGTTAATTTAGGGAAATCTTTTACAGACAATCATGTTTACTTCATTTACAGACGAAAAATAATATTGTTCCAACACTATTAGTGACATTAAGTTTACCTCGGATGTTTACTTGTATCACATTACCAGACTTGAAGTTTTCGCTTGCTTCGTCAAGAATAATATCGGTCGCTTTTTTCTTGCACAGCTAACCTACTAGTGCTACACTTCCTGAAACAATTTTAGTTCTCATCACTTTTTCTTCTCACTAGAATCATCTTTTTTAGCCATTTCAGTTTCTCCAAGAATGTCAAGAATGCCTTTGTTAACACAAAATAATGACAATATTAAAGTCAAAGCAAGGCAAGCAAAAAAAACATGTTAAAGTTGACAAAAAAAGTTACATTGGTGTAACAAGCAGTAATACCAACATTATGACAAGATTGTAACAGTTGCCTTTTCTGTTCTTTAGTTTGTTTATAATTCATTCCACCAAGGCTAAATGGGAATGAAGTTTTAATCTTGAGATGGATGAACACATACAAAGAGATTGAAAATGATTATCCAGAAAAATGATAGAAGCTACACAAAGAGGATGAAACAAAACAAAGACTTAAGGTTGAGGATGGAAAGGGTTTCATTGGTGTAAGTCGACAAAGAGTGAAAGGCTTCACCAAAGCTCAAATCCAAGTTATTTAAACTTCCATATCAGATAAACACTGTTATTAATTCACTTTACTAAGGTTCCACTGATTTAAACTGAATAAAATTGATTAACCAGAAATAGATAAAACTGGTTCAAAATGGCCTCCAAGTCATGGAGGCAAAGGATTTGAATAAAGGATTTGAATGGAGGATCAATGATAAAGATATCTGATATCAATGGTTCCCTATCAAAAAGCGGTAAAATTAAATGTTAAACAAGTTGATTAAAAAGATGTTGAGATTAATAATGAATTTGGGTGAATGAAATGAAAATAAATTACTCTTAAATGTAAAGCAAATCCATCATAATTCATATTTATAAATGTCAAGATAGACAAAAAGATTGAAACAAAAGTTAAATACAACAACAATCAGTAAAGGTTGTACTCTATTGTTTAAAGCTAAACTGTGGTTGATTCAATTAACCACTTAAATTGGAAACAAAATTGAATTTCACTCACTTAATTATGATTAACTTTAAACAAGCTGTTGATAAATTGTTTAAACATTTAATTATCTTGTTTATTTAATCTTGTTCATCATCATCATTACCATCGTCTTTGTAATAATAATACAAACCTTAACATGGCATGAAAAGCATTACAGTATAAGATGATAATAATAGTAATAATCTTATTATGTTTACTATCATCAACATTATAAAAGGTTCAACTGTAACAAAGAATGCGAAAACGTGAACAATATTTTTCATGTTGAACCCTGAACAAGGAACAAGAAAAAGTATCATGAATCAAAATTGAAATCAACTGACAAACTGATATAACAATCTAAACGTAGGCAACAACCAAATAATAGTAAAAACAAACATTGTTATATATTGACCACCCACAATGGTTAATAAATTGTTGAGTGAAACGTAAATTTATTCACATCTTTTGCTCTCCCCATCATGATTAAGATGATGATAATAAGGATGATGAAGACCTCCGAAGATGATTCGTGATTCCAAACATTGTTCAGCTCTGTACAATAAATAATATCCTCGTTCCCATGGAGGACATTCAAGCAATTTAAAATTGAGTCAAATTGTTGAGTAAAACCAATTCTTTCAATGAACAAACCCAAACATTTTTTTCACTAAAATTTGGGTTCATCTCTAGTCTTTACCAATTTATTGCTGGACTAAATTAACTCTATCAACATGTTTAATTGTTAAACTCGATTAGCAAATATGTTTACAATCAGAAGCTAAATAGCTTGTCATCAGTCGATTAAGAGATTTGAAGGTTGAGGGAAAATTGGCTGAAAAATTGAAATGCTTTTTAGGTTGAAATGGGCTTTGAACAAATGCTATCAATATCTGGCAATTTAACCTAATATTAACCTTTGTAGGCCTACCTTGATAGCCATTATGTTTGCCTAATGTAAGCTAATGTTGTATTTAAAATCTGGTATTTTGTTTGTTAAAAAAGGTTGAAAGTGAAAGGTTGCCTCTGTTTTGTTTGCATACCAACTGTGGTTATATGGTTAATAGTGAATGAATGGAGGAGGCGGAGGAGGAGGAGGAGGAGGTTGAAGGTAGAGGTTGAATGAGCTAGGCTGGGAGTTAACAGTTGTAAATGGGTAGACAAATGTAGGTGCGGACAATGAAATAAACAGATGGAAACTATGGTTTAAAGGTTAACATTGAGTGACCATTTAGGTTGTTCATTAACTTATCTAGAGACCTTGATTTATGATTAAAATAACAGTGAACCAAGAGCGAGTACAAAAACAAAAGCAGAAACGCAAAAACACACACAAGACAAAAAAAGAGCGAAACAAACCAACCAGACAACAGCTTTAAACATTGTTACTGATGGTAAAAATAATAAGACAAAATCTTGTATTATTTGCTTCAGGCAATTGATGTAAGCTTCCTAATCAATCATATCAATATCAAACATTTTCTGGTAAAAAGTTGACGGAAAAATATTGAAGGAAATGTTGCTCAGGAAACAAAACAAAAAGTTTTTCTGGTTAAAGGTTTTTCTTCCAATTTTTATGCCTTTATAACTTGATTTTTGTTCATGTTCATTACAACAATAATAATAACCCAAAAACACTCGGCTTATTACACTTTAACTTCAAACGTTTATGCTTTTTATGATCAAAATCAGCCTTTCAAATCAACCTTTTCCAGACTGATTATAAGCTGAAAATGAAGTTGATTAATTGAACCAACAATGATTGTAAAGGCAAGTGAAGCTAAAATAGGCAACAAGAATCACAATTTAACTTGCAAATTGATTGTAAACAATTGTTGAGTTTACTGCTGTTAATTGCAATGATAATTATGCATTAATGATTATCCAACGTTGAAACGAAACGCAAATCTTTTCAAATAACACTTTTAATTGTACCTTTTTTTATTGGCTTTTGCCACATTTGGCCCGATCAATACAATAAAAAAGCTTTTACAGCCAATTGAAAAGGTAGACTAATCAAAGTTGAATTGGCCGATAATATAAATAGGAAAATTATAAATTCGCAAATCACAACAATAATGGCTTCAGGTAAAGCTCAGGTTAAGATGTTTCCTCAAAAAGTTTTGATTCAACTCCAAGAGTTGATGTTGTTATACTTTAACCTGTCATTATCATGCTCGTCAAAACTCGTGTAAAGACGTTTCTTTTTTTGTTGAGTTTCGTTCTCAAAAGAAGGTAAAATTGATTAAAGTTTGTCTTCCTTTATCATCATAATCATCCTTTACAAATGCGATTACAAATTGTTATTAACATTGACAAATGGATGACAAGACAGTGAAGAAGAAAATATTTTAAGAAGATTGGATCCAAAAAAAGGAAAGGAAATGGATATTAAAGGTAATGGTTAGGGATGATGTTGATGATCAGTTTGATGATAGAGAGGATGACAAAAGAAGAAGATGAATAAAGAAAAATCTCAAAAGAATTCTTGAGTTTCTTCTCTTCATCTTTTCTCTTCTTCTTCTTCTTTTCCCTTTACTTCATGTTCGTTCTTTTCATCGACTCTTCTCTTATCTTCACAAGGAAACATTTTGTCTTATAGTGTGTGGACATTGTATTTTGGGTCCATCTTTTTTTTGCAGGCTCATTGTTAGCTTCATGATTGTCATTGGTGATAGTTAGGATAGTAAAAAGAGAAGATGCCTTTTAAGGCAACTTTGCCAACTTTGGACTTACCTTCAAGTTTATCGACAGATGATAGTCCAACCGATTTCCTTGGGATACTTGGAGGTCCGTGAGATTCATCGTCAATATCCAAACGTTCATTATGATCGTCTGAATATTGATCATCCATTTTATCTCCATTCTCCTTCATCTTATCGTAACCAGAAGAGCAAATTGTTCTCGTCTCAGGATCAGATTCATAAGAAACTAATCGTCGAGGACTGCTCATGACCAATTGTCTGGTTAAACGAGAGAAAAAAAAGGAAACAAAAAGTCAGGTTAAAAGGAATTTAAAATGAAAACTATTCAGGAAATTTCGTGTAAAATTGCATGACTTTTAAGGGAAAGGTAAACTTACTTTTTACTACTTCTACCGGCTCCAGTTTCCCTGAAACCTTTTGCAAATGGATTGTTATCGATTTTTAATTTAGTAATCTGGACACATGGAAATCCAAACGAGTTCAGCGACATGAAAAGAACGAGTAAAGATTTTGATAAAAAATTTGCTTCATTGAGTTCATCGTTTTTCATTTTACATCAAAATTCATTTCAAGTTTTACTAAACACAGATAAATGACGCTCTTGTTTAAGGCCAAATTTTTCAAAATTAACTTCTTTTTGCACATCTTCTTGAGCACCTTTAGCTCAACTCATAGTTGGTTCAGTTACCATTACAAGTCAACTTTCAATCGACTTTGAATAAAGGTTTCATCATCAAAAACAGATCGATAAGTCTCATTCATTTTGTCCTCTAATGGAATAATCAACCCTTTTGCTAAATTCACTGTTAATGGTCAACACTCAACTGAGTCGACTGTTGGCCATCAAAGTTATCACCACTTTGAGGTTAAACCATTTCAACCTTTATCAATTATCTTGTCAAAATAATAATGGAAAATAAAGTGTTTGAATTGGTTAGACTTTGAATAAAAATCTGTAAAGTCTCGAGTAAAAAGGCATTTATTTGGATTCAATGTAATGCTTGTTAACCAGTCAACCAAGTGACAATTGTAAGCTTGAAAAGTCCTTTTTTATGATTTACTCACTGCTACAACATTATCTATATCAAGCTGATTGTTGGCCTTTTATTTAAATGAAAATTGTGGGTGAAAACAAAGCCACAAAAGGTAGTTGAAATGATGATGATAATAAATTAATTTTGATGGTAAAACATTTTCAGGGTTCAATTGAGACTTTATCTGATTCCAAGTGATACATCTAACGCCATTTTACTGGATAATTTTCACTTCAACCTGATGATAATTTGCTCATCAACACTCTGAACTTTTCGCAGGCAGAACTTGGTGAAGCCTCACGTTTAAAGGTGACACTTCATGAACCAGACAGATAAAAGTGGAAATGAGATTAAAGTGAAACAAAAACAAATGGATTCTAATAAAAGATTGCCTCTGCTGGGAGTGAAAATAATTATTGGATAGAGTTGGTTTAATGAGTTTTGCAACTCTCAATGAAGGTAAATGATAATGAAATAATATTTGATAATCAGATAAACTTTTCATTTCAATTTTGAATATTGTTGCCCATTTCAATGTTATCAGCATTTTGAAAGGTTTAATAATCAGTAATGGCTTTTGTGATTGCTTTAATGATTGTGTGTTCAGTTTGAAATGAGCAATTCTTTTGTTGGACAAAATTGCAAAATGACATTATCATGTATTGTTGAGAGTTAACTAACTATGAACCTTTCAATTTACATGTTTTGTTCATTATTGTAAAAACAAACCGCAAACGAAAAAAGAACAAAAAAAGTTTCTTTTCTCATTCCAATCTTTCCTCCTTTTTTCCCTGTGCTCATTTGAGTATCTAATTGTGGTTTGTTTTGATTCAATTGTTAACAATTAAGTGACTAAATAGGTAAACAGTTTTTGTTCACAATGAAACTGGGCATAACAAGGTAACAATGAAAAAGGTAAGAATGGAAACAAGTTTTCTTGAAATGAATATTGTTTTTCATGATCAACCAACTTTTGGGAAAATCAAGTTTTGCTGTTGCTTTTTTTTGTTTACAAACCTTTTCATTTTGATAGGCAGTTACGGCAATGAACTCAGTCTCTTTGAATACATAAGTTCTGAATGTACTATGAGGCAATTTCAGCAGATTGTTTGTCCTGACTAGATGAAAACGGGGTTGATATTTGTGCATCGAGTTCAAAATTGTCTGCTTGGTGAGATGTAAGGTGCGACAAGGTAAAAAAAGCAAAATTGTTGATCCAAGTTCCATGTTTGATAATAGCAGGGCAAAATCAAACCAGTTAACCATTCAATTGTCGAGTGATGACAAATAGTCCAGTTTTGATGGTAAGTTAGCCGAAACAAAAGAAAAACAAATGAACAAAAAGAAAAGAGTTTCAATGAGTATTTTTGTATCAATTAATCATCAACTGATGAGACATCAAACTTACAGCTCAACAGTCATCTCAAGTAGTTCAACTTGAACCTCGAGTCATAACCTAACCTAACCTAACCCAACCTAATCTAACCTTTCCTAGCCTAACATCAAGTCCAATGACTAGATGAGACAAAATTGGCTCTAAGCTTTTAAAGCTTTTTAAAGCAATTTCTTATCATCCATGATATAAACTATTAATCAGTTTCTTCATGTATTGATTATGATTATTGATCGAAAACGATTAGCAGATATAAACTTTGAAGCGACAAAAATAGATTCAATTTAAATATTGATTAGAGTTGATAAGCTTTGAGATTTCAAGTCGAGCTGTAAACGAGTTTTTCAGTCAAGTTTCTATCTAAATACTTACGAATCCATGTTTATCGGCTATATTATTAGTTAATTTTAATTTATGAAATGAAACAGTTTTCTGCATCCATTGTTCACCAGTTGAAGGTGAATCAGGGTGTATATACATTCGTTTAGGCATTTCAGGATCAGCTTTACCTGCCATCATCCAGCGCGAATTGTGAAACTTGTATCTACAATCATCAGCGGCAACAATGTCCATTAACATTATGTATTTAGCTTTCTTGTCAAGTCCTGAAACTCGCACTTTAAACGGAGGAAACATGCGTCTGTACAAACAGTGAAGCAAAAAAAACAAAACAAAATGATTATCAAAAATGTCGAGTAAAAAAAGGTACCAAAAAATGGATTGAAAAAATGATCCCATTAACACTGACTAACTCATTATGTTTACAAATGTGAAAGTTAATGAACAGTTAAACAGCTTGATTACAGGTGATTATTAATTTACTAAAAAAAGTCAATTTTTTATTAAAACACTTTACATAAAAAGAGCAATTAATGAGCTGCTAATTAATATGTTCAACACTTGGTAAAATGTAGTAAAAAATGGCAAAATATTAAACTCCAAAGAGTAAATGATAAACAATAATGGCGATTGAAACAAATGATAATTGTATCGACTTTCCTTATTGAAAAATGATACCTGATAAAAGGTGAATTAATGATAATATGAATAACCAAGATGGGAGTGAGAATTGAAATAATAGATTGATAATGATAGGTAATAAAACAGGATAATAGGTTACATGAAATGTGGGCAAATAAGTCTCTATGAAAGCGACCAGCATAAGTCTGATAATCATCTCAAGTAGAGACAAAGCTCAACCTAAAGAAGGCAACTCCGCCCGTTGATTGAACACGCATCAGTCAAGTCAAGGTAACAATTATGGCAAAATATTGGTAAAACTTTTATTGGAATGTTGATCAATTAGAAAGGACAAATGGTGGTGCTGGCTATTCAACGGAAAAGGTTAAACAATAATGTCAACTGGATATTGTTTCAATTTGAATGCTGAATGTAAATTTAACTGACATCAATTTGTTTTCACCGAAGACACACTTTACTCTTCGTGCTTGTCTGTGAATGAAAAATTGAAAAATGAAGATTAAAGGTTATGATTAGGATGATGAGGATGGGCAAGATGAATAGATGTTTTCATCATTGTTTTGCCGTTAACAGACTCACCTAACCATGACATATTGTTAGCATTGTTGACAATTATAATTGATCAGTTATTGAGATAATAATAATCTTGCAATTTAAACATAATGCAAGATGATTTGGCAAAGAAGAAATGAATGAAGAAAAAAAAAATATCAAGTCTTAAAATTTAATGACTTATCAAGAGCCGGACACTGAAAGGTTCATGGATAAAGGTTGGGAACAACAATGCGAATCGATTGTTGAAAATAATATGTTCAAGTATTGAATGAAAATAGTAAATAGAAGATTTTTTTTCTTCTTCTCTTTCTTTTCTCGACAATCTCGCATTGTACAGTAAAGATGATGACAATATTGTATAGTAAATGATAAATAATAAAGAGTCAACAATAAAAGGTCCAACCAGGAGAAGATGGTGAAAAATATGAAATATAATAATATTTATGAATAGACAAAAGTCCATAAAGTAACATATCATGTCACTTAATCTCCTCTCTTCCTACTCCTCCTTTCATCCTCTCATCCCTCCTCTTTCCTCCATCATCTTGATCATCCGACAAACCATAATCTAGACAAAAATACATAAATATTGATAATAATATTTTCATCTTCTATATAGATCGATAATAATATTGGTTAAACCATTGAACCATTTACAATATTTGCAGCCTTATAGGTAATCATATTTATCACATTTCATCATTGCCTTTTCACACTCGATTGTTTCAAAGTTTCGTCAACCTGGAAAAGTTCAGAGTTTCACCAGCAAATCCCAGTCAATTTTGTTTGCGTAAAATGTTTATGTTTAGTCTTGTTAACGATAATGATGGCAAATGATCATTAATTTTCAATGAAAAATGGTTGATAATTTCATCTGTTTTGGTGAATCGTTTATGAGGCTTTCAATCTCAATCGAGTAAAGGTAACAAAATGTGTTGAAGACGCATTTACCTGTAACTAGGTTAACGATTAATGATTTGACTCTTTTTTTGCCTTCGTTTTTTTCGGGTAAAGTTGAGGAAAATTGTCTCATTGTTGTTCATGTGAGAGTCACACGTAATAATCATTAATGTTTTTAAAAGTGAAATGATGATAATTGAAGGTTTTGTGTGACATTTCTTGTTTACTGAATTGCCATTTTGTCTTATTTTTTACCTTTCCATTTTTCAAGGTAACGTTACTTTCACCCAAAACGTTTGAGCAACTCAATGTTCATCAAGAATGATTATGCTGATGATAATGATCTTGAATTTAACTATTAAGGGATTCAAGATTACATGGAAATGTATTATTCGTCTTGTTAGTTTAATGTTTGCTGTTGCTGTTGTTGATGCTATTCAAAGGGTTGATATTTCTTGGCCTGTAATTAATTGGATTTGTTGATTGTGACAGAAGATAGCTTGATAATCGTAGCTAATGGTATAATGATGATGATCAACGTTTAATGGTTAATTTTCAGTTTGTGTTAATGATTTTAGTGAGAACGAAAGAGTTGAAACGAGTTTCAAAATTGGTTAATTAATTTTAATGAACTTGGTTTTTTGCTTTGATTAACCAGTATGATTGTTGATAATTAACAAAAGTAATGAAATGAGAAAGAAATATATCTTTTCTGGTTTCCAAAATTGCTCTTCAAGCTCAAACAATCACCTTTTGGTTGAGCAAATTACAACGAAGTGTTCAATTTTCTTGTCACAGTTTGTAAGCAAATGATGAATGTTTATTGACATTGAATCATAAGTGCCTAAAACAGTCATCTTTTGACTGGTAAAGTTGGTTTAAATGTTCAACTCATTGTTATGAACCAATGACAAACATTTAATCCTAACCTAACCGAACCTAACCTAATGCAACTCTTAACTCTGATCTTAGAGTTTACCTTTCATGACTAATAATTGGTTGAAACCGATTGTAACAAAAATGCAAAATGATGAAATTCTTGGTTATCAATGATTTGAACTTTGAGCCATTTGTTCATAAAAAGACAAATGTTGAATTGATTCTGTGCAATGTTTTGTTCAAACCTACAAAATTAATCATTTTTGCATCGAAGTTCAAGTTTTATATTTTTGACGATCAAATGATGCATGATGTGAATTAAGATCATGTTCATTTTGAGCTTAGAAATATTGAATTTTTGAAATTCAGTGAAAAAATCGATAAGATAAATGGAACTTTGATCGATTTAATAATAGTAACATTTGGTTAAACACAACAAAATATATTTGACTTTAAATATACTGAATCTGATGAAATGTTGAAATTAATTTGATGCTCGATGGCGGATAATTAGAAAAGTGGCAAATCGATAGACAATCAGGTTAACGCAGAGAACCCAAAAGGTACGCTGAAGATATTCATCTTTTAAATTGTAGATAATCATTACACCTGATTCAACCTCGGTTCGATTACCTGCAGCACCTTTAGCTAAACCTCCACCCACCGAGTTGAAAACTGCGGTAGTCAATGAATCGGTTATATCACGAATTTGCTTCATTGTTTCAGGTGAATCATCATCTTCCCCGTTGATGGTCTCAAAAGCAATCGAAAACATTTTATTGATCCAACCCTGGAACATGGATTTCATCATTTCAATCTTTTCCATGGTTCCCTTACCACACCTAAAAAAGCCATAAAGTGAAATCAAAACACCTTCAAAGCCAAATCGTATATAAGACAAGTTGGTCAAGGGTCGAAGTATAGCTGGCATGGTTTCAATTTTGACCAGAAAACCACTAAACAGAAGCAAAGGTAAACACGAGGCTGGACCCAGAAACACTGCAGCTGTAACATTGTGAACAAAAAACGAGCCAACAGCAAGGCCGTGTGATTGACCGATCAGTGAAACCATGACACAGATAAAGAGATAGGCTAAGAATCGATCCCAATCATGTATCTGCCCGTTCATGTAATAGGTGATGGACACATATAGAATGGAATTGAACAATTGAAAAGGCAAATCGGCCAGAGTACGAGCAAGGAAATATGAGCCCACTCCGTACCAACCGTTTGACTTTTCTTTGATGAAAATGGACAATTCGAGGGGAAAGGTGATCAACATGGGTGTCAATGAGCCAAACATGAGAAGAAGAAGGGAAAAAAATAAAGCCGAAAAATTGTCCAACAAGCCTTTGGCTTCTCCAATAACCTCTTCCGAAGCAGATTTAATGGCATGGATACTGAATGATGACCCGAGATCGGGTGGACAACCTCCATATTTACCAATGTAGGGACCATAAAACCAGCCTAGAAATAGTGCCATTCCAATGTGAATACCAAACCGTGAGGCTGCTAACAGGGGATCGCGAAGTGTCAAAAGGAAAGATCGATGTAAGAGGATGAAAAAGTGTTTCAAGTGTGGATAAGAAGCTCGAAAAGCGGCCTGAGTTAAAATTCGTTTATTGACCAGTTCAAGTTCATTTTTATCATCAAAAGGTCTAGGATGGGCCAATAGTGCACCCAGAGCATCGGGACCATGTTCACCTGAGGCAATTTCAATCAGAAAATCACCTGGATTGGTAAATGTTGGACAAGGTGTTCCCACTTTATCCAGATGACCTATCAAACTGATTGGTGATCCATCGTATACAAGTTGACCCTGACTTGAGAGAACATAAACTTTATCAAAGAGTTGAAAAATTTTCATGTTGGGCTGATGAATGGTAACCATGATGAGCATAGAGGGCTTGGATGAAGCCAATGAGCGCAAAATTTCAATGCAATTGTACGAAGCAGCCGAGTCAAGTCCAGAAGTGGGTTCATCAAGTATCAAAATGTCGGGTCGAGAAATGAGCTCTTGAGCAATAGAGAGACGCTTCTTTTGTCCACCTGAAAGTTTACCAACCCGTGAGTCGACTACATGTTCAAGACCAAAAAGTGTCAAAACATGATCACTAGCCAGTTGATGGTAGTTGGTGTCAGAGACGGTAAACCTACGCACATCCAGTCTTGCTGCTGGTCCTTCTGTAGACAAGGCCTTGTACGCCTTGTAGTAGTTTGATGCTACCAGGGTCGAGGTTTGCAGGCGAGAAGCAAAGACAAGAGTCTCCTTGACGGTGAGCACATCGAAGTAATTGTCGTACTGAGGGATAAAGGCCATGTTGAGTCTAGCTCGATCACCTGAAAGACAAATGTCACCCTCAGTTAAACCCTTCCATCGACCCGAGATGCAGTTGATCAAGGTTGACTTGCCACATCCCGAAGGTCCCATAATGGCAATCAGTTGACCCGACTTGAAGGATCCATCAATATTGTTTAAAATGTATTTACTTTCCGGCTTACGGCCAATGTACTTGACATAAGGATTGACTTCGACTGAAACGGAAAATGATTTCCAGTGAACAATGAAATCGTTGAGTAAACTAGCTGATATGGTTGAGATGACCGTTTCAGGGTAAACTTTGCCATCTCCATTGGTTGAATAAGAGTCACCCTGAGTCATGGTAAATGCTTGATAAACTGAAATATCAGATTCTTCGCCACTTTTAACCAAATAATTGTTGTAATGAGAATTGTCAGAAGATTCAAAGTTTGAAATTCGTATCATTCAAAGTTGACCGTGCAAAGAAGCAAGAAATTGATCAATGATCAATTGTTGAACAATTAATGAGCAACTAATGAGTTAACTTGATAAATTACAAAAGTTGACACAAAAATGGTTTCAGATTGAATTTAAAAATTGAATGCAAAACAGAGATGAAGTTGAACGCGAGTTTTCAATATTATTCCCAATGAATGTTCACAACTCGAAATGAATTTCCATAAATTGTCACAACAATATTGAGCAAGGTTAATGAATATTATTTCCCTGCTAAATGACAGAGTTGAGTCGGTTAATTCATTAGAACTGGAGAAGGAAAAAAATGTTGAAATTCTGAAGGTTACATGGTGCACAATATTGATCATGACAGTCAATTGCAAGTTAAAGTTTAAGCTAATCATTACATTGATCGACCTGATTCGTGGATAAAATGAACGTAGCAAAAGAGAAAGACGATAAAAATGGAAAAGTCGTTATCATGAAAAACGAAAAATCGATCAATTTTTCGAAGAAAAGGTAAAAAAACAAGATTCTATTTTTTCCATCATCATCTTGAAATGTTCAATCATCAATAGTTCGTGTTCAAGTTTAAAATTTGATCAATGAAATCAATGATTAGTTTTTGATGAAATAAGCTTTTAATGAAGTTAAATTGTTTACTCGAGTTTTGATGATAAATTGAGAATCAATCATTTCCAGTTAAAGGTTAAAAGGTCTTTGCAAATGAATTAAAATAGACTCTTAATGACTTGATAACAATGAATCAAGATTGACTCAATATTGATGAAGCAAAATTGCGTGAACTCAATGGCTTTAATTGCATGTCAACTTGATCATTAGACGAAAGGTAGAAAAATTTTGTTTTTGGCTTTTAGACGTTTTTCATTTCTTTTCAATCACCCAATTGATTAACATTTAGTCTTCGATAAACATTGATTTTAATTGTCTGCTACAATAATTGAACTTCACAGAACTCTTTACAGAACTCTTTTGTCGACATGAAAATTTTCAATTTCAAGGTTTGACTGGAAAAGAATCGATTGAAAAGTGAATTTTTTTATCGCATCCAAAAAGACATCAACTTTTGCAATCGATAAAAGTGAAAAATTTGAGGCTAAATTTGAACGCTTCTTGGAAACCTTTTTCATCGTCCTTTTCCTCTTGAATTACATGGATATTTATAAATGAACAGAGTTTAGTAAAGATTTGAAGATAACTTTTTATTTCGCCTCGTTTTCTGCTTTTCTGTTTGCCTCATCAAATAATCAAAGACTCATCTTTGTCATGTTTGACGATGAAACCAGTCGAGGTATTATCATCATCGTCATCATCAAACAGTAAACCTTGTGTGAGTGTGCTTGTCTCATCAGAAAATGATGATGATGATGATGATAAGTCGAAGGATAAAATTTCTAGTTACTCTGATTAAAGTGAGAAAATAAGAAGCTCCACAATTTGGTTTATCTGTTGCCAAGTAAAGTGCTAACGTTGATCAGTAAAACTGAAATGTTGGACTTGAAAGTATTTCAATCAGGATTACTATTATTATCATGCAAGTAAATCCAAGTGTGTGAACAGTAAAGTGTTATCTCATTGACTTTAGATGTAAAAATGGAAACAAAATGGGTTCCATTTTTTTACTCAAGAAGATGACCAAGATGAACATGATGATTATGATTCTCTTCATCTCTAATGAATGGTTTTTTTTTCTTGTCATCATTTTGAGCGATAAACATTTGACATTTCTCAAGATGATCACATTGATCAGTTTCTTCTCTCATGCCTTTAGGGTTGATTGACAATGTTTGACTTGTTGACAGGTTGAAGGATAGTGAAGGTTAAAGGCAAAACTTGAATGAATTATACGTTTTTCTGGACCTTTTTTCCCTCCGACTTTCAATGTTTCACTCGCATTTTTACACTTGATATCATCACTTTTTTGCTAACCAAAATTGTGATAAAAAAAACAAGTGATGAAAAGTATACTTTTATAGAGACTTGTAACCTAAAAAAAATAGAGCTGTGATTAAAGTCTTTTGCAAGTCTCTAGTTCAATAGTTTGATCCCAATTGACACATAGTCAATGGGCTATACTTATCGATGTCGATATCAAAGTGCGCTGATAACCATCAATTGATTGAAAATAATAGCCCTTCTCTTGCAATTGATACTTTGATGTAATATAATTGAATTAAATAACATTGAAAGTTTGATGAAACTTGAAAGGCACACTCTTGCAATGGACAAAAAGTGAAGAGTAAAAAAAAGTTGCATTCAATAGTCACTTGGGAAGTTATCGATATGTTATGATTAGTTGATGCAGTAAGTGATGCTTTGCTGGGTTGAAGGAAAGGCAAGTGTTTGCTTCTAAAAAATTGTCCATGTACAATCAATAGATTTATTGAGATTTAGTTTTTTTCCTCTCTTTCCTTGATCCACTTTTACTTGTGTCTAAATGTATCGATCTGAGTAATCATATTTTATTAGTGTGTTGGTCGGGGTAAAAAATGTGTCTCTACAGAAATGGATGGAATAATCTGAGTTATTCAAGTAACAAGGATAGGAATCAAATTTACTCAAGGGAAATGCTGTTAAGTGCTCATGAAATTATATCAACTGTGAGATGTTTTTTTCTGTTCATGTTTATGATACTGTGATGGTGATCAGGCTGATGATGAGCATTAGCTAGACGGTAACCAGAGTACCCATTAGGTTGTTGTTGGGTGGTGTAATTGACACAAGCCATGGGATTTGTCAACTTTAAATGTCAATGAAAGGTTATGGATAAAAATTGTATACTAATGAATGGAAAGAATAGTGAAGAGAAAAAAAAATTTTCATGAAAATTCTGATTAATTAGATTATTCATCTCTCTTTTGCTCAACTCTTCACTATTGCCATCATTATCATGATACTGATACTGGTGATGCTGATGGTGCTTGTGATGGGAAACATGTAGAGCTGCCAATTTTTAGCGTGTTTTTTTGTTACCCTTTTCACTGGAGGTTTAACATGAATGCGATCAACATGATGAAGATGAAGATTATGGTGAAAGTGAACACGATGAAGAATTTTCAAGCCAATTCTTAATGAAGAAACCATTATATTAAGCACCTAACTAGCTAATTGAAAATTAAAATGTGATTACGTGGCAATTGGAGTAATTAAGATGAAAATTCCTTTCAAGTAACTCTAACTCTGATCAAATGTGTGCTTACAATTAATGACAAGTTTTCCTCTTGTGACGATGATGATGGTTTATCTTGATGAAAAGAAGAAAAGAGTTTTTTTCCATTTTCTTTTCAATTCCAATTTCAAAGGTTAATTGCGATATTTTTCATGCAAAGCTAGTAACTTAATATTGAAAATGTTTGGAATGCGTTTCGCTTCAATTCAATTTCAATTGAGTAAATCAACTTTCAACAGCTTACGTTTTGTTTCTAAACTCAGTTTACTTTTAATTGCAATTCTCACCTCAAACCCGATTGTCAAATAAATTGCTGTTTATCCAAGAAAAACATTTACTTGAACAGCATGATGAAGTAAAAGAGATAAAACTGATTTACAGTCGAAACTTGGAAACCACTTTTAATTTCTTTGTTAACAACTAAACTGTCTTTCAATTTTGTTGTAATCTTTTTGACTGAAACGCATGTTCAAAGGTAAAGGTTTACGGCTTCAGAGTCTATCCACAGGAAATCCAAGAAAATGCTGATTATGCAAAGAAATTCAAATGATGAACCTCTTCATTTCAACTCATTATCTTTATCCTTTTCCAACTTTTACTTGATTGCCTGGTTTGACAGTCAAGTTTATACCCATTGTGTAAAAACTGACCCCAAGGTGCAGTCGACTTCCCTTGAAGACAAAACTATTCTTGGCCTAACAATTAGAAAGTACTTCGCTTTTTTACTCAATTTTATTAACTTCAAACAAACAAACCTTCAATTATTGACGTGAACTTTAAATGCTCAACTGTGGTTACACGTCTGTTAAACCAGCTTCATTCACTTTTATTTCACTCATTAAAATTGAAACCTGAAAAATACACGCAACTTCAACTCAATGTACTTTGTGTATACCTGCATTTTATTAGCTTGATGCAATACTTTTTCACCATTTTTTGCTTCCTTTTTTTGAGGGCTAAAATAAACTTCCGTAACAGGCAATTACAGGCAAAAACAGAGACAAGCACTCAATTTTGAATTAGCATTAAGCAAAATTTGCTTTTAATTTGGCCAAAATTCAAAAATCCAAGGCAAAGTTTATAAACTTGGCTCATCAGTTCATGTTGCATTATTGATGATAAAGTTGACCAAACTATCGTCACTCACAAGACTGACTTCAACGACGTAAGTTGAAGTCGACATCAGGTTATTTTGCATTATTATTGTAACCATCAATTGATCAATCAGAAGATTCAACAATCTTTCATCAAATGATCGATCTGATCATTGGTTAGCTCAAGTGATGTCATTGATAAAGACTTGTATAAATACCCTCTTCAAAGCTAACACTTTACTCAGCACTCTGTTAGTCGTTTACTAAGTCAGTTTAACCTTCAGTTTCCAGTTAGATTTGAATTTAATTCTGACTTTTGATTTTTAAGAATCAACATTTTCTATATTTCATTTCTTTGAGCAAAGTTGAATTTGATAATTACTGGCGGTACCTCAAAGCGTGATCTTTATTTATTGCTAAAACTTTTCATGTTCAATCCTTACATTACGAAGTCAAACATCTTTTCCTACACAGTTTTTCTTGATTTGAACTTGACAAACCCATCACTTGGCGATCATTTGTATTTGACATTGCTAATGAAAGGTTGATCAATATTTTACATTTGAACAAAACCAGAAACTGTCGATTAAAGTGAGTAAACATTTTCACTGTCAAGTGACACTATTGATCAGTTTAATGGGAAAGCTGTTGAACATTAAAGGGAAAGAGTAAAAGTGTATTTAATGTTTGTAAATGATTGCTGATTGATTGTGGTTAAATTGGTAATTTAGATTGTCAAAGTATAAATTGCATCCATACATGACATGAAATTATATTAGTTTGTTGACCAGTTGACGATAATTATACTGATAAAAATAATAATAATATTAATGTAATTGGAAACCTTTCAAGATCAATTTGATAATAAATGCAGAACAAGAATCGAGTTAAACATGATAAAGATGATGAAGATGATAAAGATGAGGATGAAATGGATAGTAAGCAAACTGTAATTTTATTTGGATTCTTTCCTTTCCTTTTCACTTTGCCTGGTAAATGTCAATAGATGCAACTTGATAATGATAATGACTGATATAAATAAAATATCAATCCACTCTTTACCCACATTCAACCAATTTCATCTTCAATTTTTATTGATAAATGACAAAACACAGAAAGAGAGACAAAATTTTCAGG